TCTTGGGGCCTCCCTTCCAACTGGGCCTCTGACAGCTTTTCTCTATGTTAGAATTTTATAATGCCCATCAAGAGACCCAACTGTAAAAGTGCTCTTGGTGGGTGTGAAAAAGAGGATGATGACAGCTTTCAAAATCACATCCTCACTGGTTTATTATGACAGGAATTAAGAAAGAAAATTAAGAAAGAAAAACATTTACAAAATGCTCATAATGCAGAAAGTACTATGCCGAGGCTTTTAAATGAAGAAATTTCTTCTTTTGCCAATGAGAAAACTGAGATTCAAAAAGATTAAGTAACCTTCCCAGGGCTGACTAAGGATGCTAACCTTCATAGGTCTGACTCGCATGCCTTACTTTCCTTTCAACACACTGCCTCCTATATAAATGTTAATATTACACATTCGTGCATTAATATATAAATGTTGCTGACTGGATTAAGTAAAATCAATATATTCCATATTTAAAGAATTTGTATTTTTCCAAGGCATTTTTTACCTATATGCTATTTTCTGTATCACAAAGCCATGTGTTGACATGAGATGAGTTTGTGGTAACCAGACCTACATTTATTCTTCCTTTTGTTTTCTATACAGAATTACCAGTGATGTGCACACCTTTGTGGCCAGCTTCAGTTGTTTTGGTTTGGGATTGAGGCTCTTTAATTGCCAGAGATAATTCTGTAAATTTATATATTTTTTAAATAAAGTTAGAAAGAAGGAACAAAGTAAAGCTTCCCTTTAAAATGTAACACCACCAACATTTACTCACCCCCCACTTTGAATGGTTTCTTTCAGATATACATTCTACCTAAAAAGTTCATGAAAGAGGAACTTTCAGCTTGCTATCTATACCAAAAGAGCCTATAAAAGGCACTGAGCTGAAGAAGAGAAGTACAAGCCAGAAAGGTCATATTTCTGTCGATTGCCCAAATTTCTCAGTGCCAGTTCAAATGCAGCCTGGGCTACTTTTCTTCACAGTTTACTGTCACCAGCCTTGAGGCTGATTGTGGCCCCCTGCCAGAAACAAAAGGCATTTTTGTCTTCTTATATTCTGTTTAAGAACTCAACTCCCATGTGAATTTGGTGGTAGCCCTCAATACAACCCCCTCCATTCTTCCCAACCTTCCACATATACAAAGGTTCTGCTTTGTGGTTCCTGTGGCACTTTTGTGAATCTGGGAATACTCCAAGTAGTGACTCAAAATGTTTCAGGAGCCAAAACCAAGGCACTGAGCATCTCTGGCTCAGCTGCAGAAACAGCTTTCCATTAGCCAGGTTACCCTTGGAATCTATCCTTTGCCCCCAGATAAATAAAAAGAAAACATCAAGATTTCACATGTCACATTTTTGGGACTTGTGACCAAAGGAAATTGTGAAGTAGACCAAGTCTCCCCCTGCAACTTCTTCCATGGCAGAGTTCCAATCCCCTTGACCCCAGGCTGGAAATAGAACTTTGGAAGGAGTGTGGTGTGGTAGGAAGAACACTGGTCAGGAGCCTGGGCTCTGGTCCTAGCTCTGCCACCACCTTGCTCTGTGACCTTGGGAAAACCACTGTGATGCCCAGATGTTCAGCCGTTTCACTGTCAAACTAGGAAGAACTCTGCTTCCTGAGTTTCCTCCAGCTTGGGAATTGTAGGATTTTCTGTTTTTCTGATTAACCAGTCCTTCCTAATATACCACTGAGATAGGAGTAAGTGTGGTGTGGATCTCTTCACCCTTTCCCCACTTCTAGTGGCCTTTTTCCCTTCTCTGATCACATGTGAACACCAAGCACAGTTATTTGTTGTGTCTCTCTTCCATGAGATGGAGAGCTCCCTGAGGACAATCTATGTCTTATCCATTTCTACTTCTCTTTTAGATCAGACATGATGTATGACACATAGTAAGTACTCAGCAAAAGGCACTCACCTATTTCTTGGCTAGCCAATGGCTGTAACTGAAGGCCGTTTAAGAAGGTAGGATGGTACAACCGATTGTAAGCAGGAAAGTTACTATAGAATAGGAAGCACTCTGCATTGCCTTTCAAATCGTATCCCAATGCTGCCTTCTGTATGTAATCATAGGGCTATTTGTTTTATTTTTAATTTCTTCAACACACTGTATATGTGTGTGTGTAGGACGTATATGTGGAGAGAGAGAGAGAATGCACTTCCCCTACTTTGTTAACATTTTAACTTGGAAATACTTTCATTGCTGTCTCATTCATTCAGGTTTCACCCTTGAAAAATAAAAACTGGTCACAGATGCTATTCTCCATTCTCTAGCCCTTCTCTATTTTCTACGACTACAGTGTATTAACTGAGCTCATTAATTAATATGTTAGTCAGCAAGTTTAATGGAAGAACTCAAATTTCAAAAGATAAGACTTAGGAAAGTGAGGGAAAGTGTTGAATCAATAACATGGGTGGGTCATTAAATAATATTCTGTTCAAATTTGATTACCAACACCCAGGCTTCTGATGAGTAAACTGTGACAGTCAACATACCAGATTCCCCAAATTAACGATACTTCTCTGTAATTAAATATCACAGCTTTATTGTTCCGATAACAAACTGAAATATTTTCCACCATCATAATATCCTTAGCAGATAATGTCATTGGAATAGAATGATGTTACCACATGATAATAGGCTCTCGACGCCAAAGTCAAGTTATACTGTTTATTTTCAAAGCAGATCATTACATTGACTTTTTTTCCATTACCAAGTGATTGATGCAGCTTTAAAGGTGACCAACAAAAATTTCATCAAAAAAAAAATGATCTAACGATGGGGTTATGTGCTGATTCAAATACCAAGAAGATGCCACATATAGCAGCATAGAATCCATTTAAAAATTAACCTTTGCCAAACCTTCAGCAGCAGTTTGCTCTGCAAAATGAGAACAGCTGTCAGAGGCCCCAAGGGGCCTCAAAACACAATAAAACCCTGTGTTGACATAGTCCATTTCTCAATAACTATGGAATTCTGGAACAGAACACCCGCCGACAGAGGAACCTGGTGTGCAGTTAACAAACATGAGCCAACTCATCTTGACGAGCAGCCTGAAGAAGGGTGGCACTATAAACACCAGGCCCTGCAAACAGGCTCTCACAACAAACCAAAAGAAAGCCTTCTCACATGCCTCCCAGACCACAGCCATTTCAGTCTCTTGGGGATACAACCCTACCGGTGAGCTAATCTTCAATATGAGAGATGAACAATGAACACCTTTCTCTGAGACTCAAAGCACCTACACAAAGGTCTTTCAGCTGGAACATGCTTGGTACAATGACTGCACTATCACATTTCAAGTCTCCCCTCTGGAGGAAGGCAAAGGGACAGGGGTACTATCTCTACAATAAAAACTGTAGGTGATTCGCCTTGGACTGGTTGACTTTCAAAATCAAATGTGGCATTGGAAAAAATATACCAATGTGTACCAAAGTGTACCAAATTCTGTACACTTTCCATTTTAGCAAATATTTCATGAGTAAGTCACTGTGCTAAGGACTGCTGGTGGTAGAAAAAGAAAATAAAACAAAAAAAAAAAGTCTACTTTACCCAGATCAAGCAGCCTGCTTACTGGTATTTATTTTCTCTGCATGAAGTCATTAGGGCTGGGTGGGTTCCAGTTGAGAGTACTCTGTACAGTCAGTGCTTGCTGCTTGCATGAGATGTGTGCCATGCACAATATTTTTGATGATGATGTTAATTGGTGCTGAATACAACTTATTTATAATTCTAGAGAATTAAACATGTGTTAGGGATGCCTGAAGCTACAGGGGCCTAAGTTACATGTTAAAGATTAAAAAGGACAGATTTCTCGACTGGACAGTCCAAAAGGCTGACACTAACTGATTATTTGCGAGTTTGGTAGCCACAGTGTCTATGAGGGAGTGTTAGTAAAAGAGAAACATTTTAAATCACAGCTCGTTCATGAGAGAAAGCACAGTAATCCAGAGTCCCTCAGACATATTCCAGGAGAGCATGTCTCAGTGTCACCTACTGCCCTGAGAAAGATCTTGTCCATGCCAGGCTAACTGAGAGCTCTTCAGCCTTGATTGATGCAGCAGTCCCACAAAATTCACATCCATGTCCCCATGTCAAGCTCCTGTCCAGCCCTCTAGCAACTTCTGCTGTGATGTCTTCTGCTGGCAGAAAATTCTACCAATAAGGTCCCTACTTCTAAGCATGCTTTACTTCTGATTTTTCTGTAATGCCCTGTCTGGGTCTCTTGCTCCCACAGTCTTTGTGCTACTTTCTTAGCACAATATACTTCTTTTCAGTAGCACTTATCCCACTTGTTTTTGGTTCAATGTCTTTCTCATTAGAGAGTAAGCACTGTAGCCTAGGAGTTAGCATCTGGATTTTTCTCTACTGTACTCTCAGTACTTAGCATAGTCACTGACCCACAGTAGGTACTTAATAAATATTTGTTGACTGTCTTGATCCCCACATGCACATCCTTCCCCAAGCTCTGGGACCTGTTCCTGATCAGGGGAGAAACTGAATTCTGGCTTAAAACTCTTGGGACTCATAAGTAAGTCACACTTCCTGCCAAGGCCAGCTTTTATCTTGTGCTAGCTTATAGTAATCCAGTATCTGACTTATTCCTCAGAAAAAAAGCTCTGACCCTAAACCCTAGTTTTAGTTTTCTTGGGCTGGGGCCATGACTTGCTTTTGCCAGTTCTCTCATGGTGTGGGAGGAAAGCCGGATACTCACTGACAAATTTCCCTGGTGGCCCATCTTGCCTAGTCTCCATCTCTAGGCTCTGCCTATCAGTTAGATTCCTCAGAAGCTTTCTCTTGAACTTCCCTGATGCTGTTTGTATGGACATCTTTCTGTCGCTTAGCATCACACTCTAATTCAAGTTAGGTGAGCCTTGGGCAACCTTACAATTGTATCAAATATATTAAAATGCTTCTACGTCCTTTGCTAAAAATAATTAATATATTTTGCTGTAAAATTTTTGAAAGATCTTTATAACTTTGTTTTAGAAATTATGTGGTACACATAATAAATTTTCTATAGTCATCATTTATTCTTGAGAATTTTGGCAAGGTAAAAAAAACCCAATCTACAAATTGTTTCCAAACAAAATCAATATTTAATTAGTAAGAAATTTAACAAGTAAAAGAATAACATGATGTTATACTTTGTATACATTGAATTAAACATTTATTAATTTCAATTTTGCTGTTGTCTTTTCATATTCCAAGGCAACACTTTTTTTTTCGGTCCTCAAATGTTTTCATGCGCCCCTAAAAAGCTCATGGTCCCAAGCCAATATTCCTACAGTGCCAAAGGCACAAAATTGCCTTGTCCCAAAAAAGCTTCTATTCTTCATTTTCATGAACTACTGCAAAGTTCCATGGCCTGGACTTTGCCAGCCTGCTAAGAGTTACAAAGCTGACCCCTTTGATGGGGAGCTGTGTCATATCATGGATAATAAACTCCAAGCTCTTCTCTTGGGCTAGTGAAATCTCCATGCTCTCCTGATTTCCCTATCATTATTAAACACTGTCTAGTTTTTATAAAGACTTCAGAACCTAGTTGGTGATTTCCTCTGAAGACATGTCTCTTTGCCTATAAAAGCCCCACTCATACACGATGTTGTCAAACAAGTAATTCTTGAGGCTATGTCATGTACGTTCAGAACTCTGCCCCAGATAGCTGTTCAAAACCCAGAAACAGATTGCTTTTGCCTCACACAGTACACATTCCATTCCCCTAACCAGCTTCTATGCTGAGTTTGATCAAGTCACTCTCAAAAATATTCTCAAAAGGGTGTCTAGTTCTTCATCCCAGCGTTGCTGCTCTGCTCACCCAACCTCCTCAGAGTGGGGTGGAGTAACTGTTTTTCTAAGGGATTATTTTTTCATTCATTCAACAAATAGTTATTGAACATCTACTATGAACAAATGAGTGAATGGACAGTAAGGATGTGAGCTGGAGAGTCTGAGCAGTGCTGTGACCCACGAGAGGTCCCTCAGTCACTCAGTAATGCAAGCATTCAACAGGCTCAGACAAAGTACTGTCTCCTGCATAACCCAGGGCCCAGGGCAGACTTTTTCCTGGTAACCAGGCAGGCACACAAGGACAAACATGCCATACCAACTGCAATTGGATTTGGGACCCAAAATAGAAACTTCTGGTTATAATATTAATTTACTTCAAATTACATATGCATCTCTGAAGTATTACTAAATAACATGTTTCACAGATATTGGAGATGGGAAAACCTCATTAGATCATGCAATTCTGGGGGTTTTTTTCCTGGTGTCTAAATGAGTTTTCTAGTACATAGCCTATGATTAGTGGGATTTGGTTATGACCAAACTGTCAACCGTTTGGAAGCAGTTACTTAATCATGTAAGCAAGGAACAGGTAAAAATGTGCACTTAACTGAGTCTATGTTTGCTGTTCTTTGGGCTTTATTTCTACCCACCGTGTTATGCCCTACAAGTTAGAGTTTACTTCATTCTCTTTCAATAGCAATATATTGTTAATGAGTCTTTCTAATTCAGTTAAGTCTTCTAAAGATCTGAACATGATTAATCAATAGTTTTGTTTAAATCTCTAGGAAGTTGCTCCTCCATTCCTCCAAGGAGCCATCTGCTCATTTGCAGATTTATCAGTGAAATACAAAGGAATTTGTCCACCAAAGGCTCACAGTTCCTTTGGACCAGACCTACTGGATATCCCTGTGGCTGGTTACCATCTTTTTTGGGCAGATAAATAATCAATAGGAACAATTTGCTGAGTCTGAGAAACACAGAGGTTGAGAGCCTGGCATCTGCACACAGACTAGCTGGGTTCACATCCTGGATATACTATTTACTATTTGTGAAATATTGGGAATTTTACTTAATCTCTCTCTGCCTCTCATCCTCATCTATAGTGCTGGTAATAGCACCAGCCATAAGGTTGCTTGTAAGGATTAGATCAATTACAGTAGGAAGCTGGGTAGCTGCTGACACGGTAAGTGCTCAGTAAATGAGAAGTGAACTTGTAAAAAAGTGATTGAAATTTCTCAAGCTTTCACAAGTTGACTTTTTTTTAAATCACTATTAAAATCCTAAGAGCAGAAATTAGTATTTCCAATTAACAGATGAGGAAACCAAGCTTCACAGTCATTAATCAATCACCTTTTCTAACATCACAAAACTAGTAAGTACTAGAGCCAGGATTTGAACTAAAGTCCCCTTGAAGGTAAAGTTTGCGGTCTTGACATTTATACCAACAAAAATAATACAAACTAGAACTTAAAAAACTTTATGCTCTTTTGTATCCACATATTCATTCAGCACTTAGTGAGTGCATTCCATGTGTCAAAAGTGAAAAGATATGTTCTGTCCTTAAGTAGGAAACAAAGTAAAAAAAAAAAAAATCACTTCTAACTAAGGATGAGGGAAGACTTCATGAAGGAAATGTCATTAAGCTGGGTCAAGAAAATGAGTTGGACTTCTCCAAACAATCCAGAATTGGTTTGAAAGGAGGCTGAGAGTTCACTGAGATCAAATTATATCTGAGACTTAAATTCTCTCCATTTTTAGTTCTTCTCCTTTTACACATGGCTTCTGCTTGGATACCTCCAGAGAGGAGACAGATATTCCACTGGTGACCCTTGAAGAGTCTTTCAATCCTTGGATTTTATAGTGCTATCATTTTTATGCACTTGTTGGATTTCTTTCCAAAATGAGTATTGCATTATATAGCAACATAAAGCTAAACTTTAAGTAATAAAAAGCCTGATTATAAAGGGAGTCAATTATGGGAAATGATCAAAGCAGGATACCAACATGGTCAGATTTGCATTTTCAAAGATCTCTCCAGCAGAAATGTGGAGGATGGATGGAGTTGGGGAAGGAAGGGAGATGAGATAAGACTCTAAATTAGGGTAGAGCCGTATGGGTGGAAAGGAAGAAATTTAAAATATTTTGGGGACATAAAACTGGCAATAGCAGGGATTGACTGATGATAGAAAGGGATCAATCAACAATGACTTGAGTATCTAGCTTGGGAGATGCGATGGATAGTGAAATGGAGACTAAAAAGGATGAACAAATCTGTAGAGCAAAGGTGGTTAATTGATTTCCCTACCTAAGGTATCTGAGGTGCCCATATGACATACAAGTGCAATGTTACTAGTCTAGTGATCGGAGAAGCGAGGTAGAGAGAGAGAGATTGGGATGTCATCTCTCCTTAGGTGACAACTAAATCCCTGTTAACGGGCAGAATTACCTGGGAGAGGAGGTAGAAGGAGGAGAGCAGTGACCAAAGGATGGAACCCCAAACAACATTAACATTAAGAGCAGGGAGAAGAAGAGAGTTGGGAAAGGAAAGAGAAATCATAGGAGAAGCAGGAAAAACACCAGGGAAATTCAACATATGTATTCCTCCCCTACTATGGTATGTATACACAAACACACGTTAAGAGAAATAATTGGGAAACATTATTTCCCTTATTTAATCACTCTTACTTAACTCAAGGAGTTTTTGCCCCAGTTTTGAAACAGTATGCCACTCACTCGGTTCCAGAGAGAACTAGTCAGTACTTATTTCTCTGTTTTCCAAGGCATCAGTGCCAATTCCCTCTCCAGTTTCCCACAGTAAAGGGGTTTCCAGGCTGTAGCTCTCTCCTTGAACGTTCAGTACATGAATATTTGAGCTGAGGCTCTGGCAGCTCTAGGTCTCTTCTGCATCTTATTTTTTCTCTTACATGCAGCCTTGATTAAACACTCTTTGCCTCCAAGTAAGGAACTCAGTTCTTGAAAAGGAAGAAATGCAAATTCTAGATTTAAATTAACTTACCTAGTGATTGCCGTGTCAACGGGTGAATCATGCCTTTTTGAGAAATGAGATCCTCAAAGAAAAATGAAGGTAATGAGGGTAGCAGCCAGGGTAAAAACATCCTTTCCTTACATTACTCTCTGCCACAATTTTCCATTGCTCATATCAGGAGGAAGAAAAAAAACTTTCGAAGGATTATATATGTTAATCCTTCTTCATTAGCAAAAATAAAGTCAAAAAGGACATATGCTTCTTTGATTCCGTTCCAGTATATTCAGTTTCCTCACTTCCAAAGCCTTGGTTTCATCAGCTCACTCCACACACACCGGAACATACAACCCCCTATGTTTCCCCTCCCCCTTCTCTACTTGAATTTGCAGCACCATAGCAAACCATTGTGTAGTTCATTTATGTATAGGTTTAGAATCCATCTTTCACTACAAGGATACAAAGTTCATGAAGATTGAGATTTTTTTCCACTTTATTTCCAGCTTCATTCCCAGTATCTAGATCAATTGTTGACACACAGTATATGCTCAATAAATATGTTCAATAAGTAAATTATTACATTGTCACATCACTATCAGATTTATTTCTACTATTATCTTATGCCTTAATAATCTAAGATATAAAGTATTATTATAAATGATTATATTAACAAATGTGAGAGGAATATGTAGTACAAGTACTTCTAGCAGTGTTCCTGTACAGCTGTGTAACTTCGAAATGCTATATAGCCTTCATCAGGTGAGGTAAATTGATCCTTAAGATCCCTTTTTCCTCCAGAATCTAATGATCTAGATTTAGGTTAAGTCAATGAAATGAAAGAGGAGAAGGGAAAAGTCAATATCTACGAGAGCTTTTTATAATGGAATTGTGGCCTAAAGACCTGGCATGCATAAGGGCTAATAGTGAGGACAGGGTGGGGGTAAGCAAAGGAAGTCGTCAGTCAACTCTGGTAAAAGTAGGTCCAAGTAGGACGGAAATGTGAGAATTCAAGAGGAGAAAGTTCATGAGGTACTGTGCTTAGGGCAATCAGTGTGGGATTCAGGATGAAGGAGGCAAGACATAGGATGTCAACTGCCATCTTTTGGGAAGCTGCAGAGCTAATATATGTATTACGTATAATAATTATTATATACCAATTTTATATAAATATATATATACACAGTCAGAGAGCAACAATTATGCAGGAACAAAGTTTCTGTTGAAACCCCAAAATGACCATGAATCACTGAGGATCCTAAGTTTCGTGGCTGAGTCCATGCTCCTAACAGTTTCTAAGTGGCCCTTCTAGAAAATCTAAGCAAATTGTTCATCTATTCCAAGCCCTTTCCCCTCTGTCTTGCCTCTGCTCACCACCACAAATAAAAGAATGTTTTTCTGAATACTTATTTTGTTTAGTTGGAGTTTCACAAGGCCCCAATCTCAAACTGATATGCAGTCAAAACATAGAAGTTAGAGGTTTTTTCTTAGAGAAAACTCAACTTTCTCAATAAGCACATACTTTTGCAACATTCAAAATGTCTTTAAGTAAATATTTGGTTTCATTTCTACCATTCTTAAGGAAAAAAGAAACCTCAACTAATACCATAACATCACTGAAATTTTATTAAAGAAAAAATCACTAACATCCAATATAATCAAGTAAAAACATACCCATTCCTCTAGCTTGTACAGCTATCCACAATTCCAGTAGGGTTTCCTAATTAAAACCAAAAAGGAAATAAACTCACTAAATCCCACTGGAATTCACTGAACACAGCTATAAATTTTAAGAATTTAAAACAATGTTATGAGCATCTCTTTTGAATAAGTGTCTGCATTCTTTCACTTGTTTATTTAAACTATAATTGCTGTGTTGAAATATTACTAAGAAAATAAATATACTCTTAATTGAAAAGAGTAAAAACAATAATTTTAAATGGATCTAATTAGCTCTACTAATCCATTCAACTACTGCTTTTTAGCCAGTACCAGTAGGAAACTATGACTTCCTGGATTTGGAAATGATACACTGCCCTTAATAAGATTATACAATAATGCTGCCTGCTTTTTCCTTACAAACGAAACAGCAACTTATCTTTATTCATGGTGTCTAAAACAAAATTTTGCATACTACCTAAATTTTTTTCCAGTGATTTCTAGTAATATGTGAAAAAACGTATTCAAGGCATGCCTTAAGGGGCAGGAGTGGAAGGTGGGCCTACTGGTTTTATTTCCATAAGAACTTCATGCACCTTGTAGTAAAAAACACGGCTGGGCCTCTTGGGATTGATGAGTGGCCCCAGAACAATCTGGGAATAATGGCTCCTGCTTAGCTTCCCAGGCAGTATACTATTCTGGAAAGGAACTCATTTGAAAGAAAGGAGAGTCAAGGCACTTCCTTGGTCCATTAGCTAGGGTGTCTGTGAAGGTGAGTGGTTTTGAGCACAGTATAACGTAGTATCATTGAAATTGTAATTTGTCCTAGCTGTACAGAGAATGGACCATGGAAGCGAGGACAGGGAACAGTAATTAAAATTTATCAAATGAAAAAACACATTACTAGAAATACTGTAGAATACTTAGAACATACTGCTACTCTAACAAAAGAGTTTTATTCAGAGGCAAAGAGCCCCACTGCTTTTCCTCACCTATCACCGCCATCAATGGAAGAGAGTCACGGTTTCTAAACATTTCACAAGTAAGTCAATTCTTCCTGCAAGTGTCATGTTATGCAGACATAAGACAAATCAAAGGAAAGCTACTGTTTTAGTTTTCTAGGACTGCCATAACAAAATGCCACAAACCGAGTCACTTAAAATGGTATAAATTTATTCTCTCACAGTTCTGGAGACTAGAATTCTGAAATCCAGGTGTCAGTAGGTTGGTTCCTTCTGGAGGCCCTGAGTAAGAATCTGTTCCATGCTTCTCTCTTAGCTTCTCGTGTTTGCCATTCCTCTTTGGTATTCCTTGGCTTTTAGATCCATCACTTCAATTTCTGTCTCCATCTTCACATGGTGTTCTCCCCACTGTGTCTCCTCTGTGTCTAAGTCCAAATATCCCTCTTCTTATATGGATATCAGTTATTGGATTAGGGCCGACACTCATTTTGACTTGATTACATCTGCAAAGATCCTATTTCCAAATAAAGTCACATTCACAGGTACCAGGGGTTAGGAATTCATCTACAATCGCTACTCTGGTTGAAAAGTTGTCTCAAGAAGGAGAGGACTCCACCCAGTAGGTATCCGTCATCCCTAAGGAGCATGTTGAAGGATTTCCAAGGAATCCTAAAGTTCTACAGAGAGAAGTTTGAAAGGAGAGAATTGTTAGAGTAATTACAATTATATTAATACCAGGAACATCTCCAGGCAACTTTCAGAGTAGCTGTGGCTATAAAGAATTATAACCTTATGACCAGAAAATGATGATTATAGACTCAGAAGTTAATGATGGGATTTAGTAGGTCTAGGGTGAGGCATGCACTCTTCCATTTCCACCAAGCTCCTAGGTGATGCTGATACTACCAGATCAGCTCACTTAGATGAGGCTTTGAGCAGCACAAGTCTAGGGGAAGATGACTGACTGTCCGGTATGAAGAAAACTGATTGAGGAGAAGAAAGCTGGCACACATCCTTGTATTTCCAAGGCTATGAGGCTTGCCGGAGCCATGGGGATACACATGCACACACACACACTCACACACACACACACACACACACACACACTTGATATCACAGTTTCTGAGCTGAAAATGTAGATGTGTGGAGCTGCTGGACTGCTCGCCCATCACCACCACCTTCCTTTCACAGAAAATGGCAAAACACTTAAAGGGGTGTTTTTGTTTGTTGTTGGATTTCGTTTTTTTTTTTTTTTTTTTAATGTGAAAGATGGTTAGGAGAGAATTATATTAAATAGACAGTGCTAACACTGGGAAAAAATCCACCAAACTGAGGGAAATTATCAGAGCGAATTAGCAAATCTCTGGCCTAAGGAACTGAGGAGGGGCAGAAATGGCCGGACATGGAGACTATGTGGCCACATACAGGGGAGTATTTGCCACTTTCCTGCATTCCCTAGAGTGCCAACATAGCCAAGCTGAAGGAGGCCCTGGGAGCAACGTGGGAAAAGTCAGATAAGGCTGGTGAAAAGGAAATTGTGCTCCTCAGCTGCCAGAATAAAATGGCAGCCCAAGAGAAGAAAGCGGAGGAGGCAGGTTCAGTAGGAAATTCTAAGAACGCCTTGCCCCAAGGCAGATTGAAATTGAGCCCAAAATGTCCCAGAACACCTGTGCTCCTTCATGAACCTGACAGCAAAATGGCCTCAGATGGGCTTTCTCCTGCTTACACACTAGCACTAATGAGTCACACAAAGTAGCAACCTCTAGTATTATTGGCTCCCTAGAAAATTGTCAATCTGAAGCAGTTAAATTCCTGGGAATCCCTCGAGCAGTTCATTAGGAATGAATTACTAGCTCTGGATCTGTCCAGTCCAAGTAAGAAGTCCCAGCGTCTAGTCATCTGTTTGAATTCTGGCAAAAGCATTTCCCACATTTGGTGATTTTATTGGTTACTTTCCATCAAGTTATGCAGAAAAAAAGTGTTTCATCTATGTGGTAATTATTCATAACACAAAATGGTGGTGAAGACATGGCATTTTTCAGCCATGCAATAATTTGGATATGTGCCCTAAGTTTTTCTCTAAAGGTATCACATTAAATTTTCTGTTTGTGTTTTATAGGGATAAAAAAAAACCTGAAGATAGGCCAAAAATGACAAGAAGTTATTTGTATCTGATTTGTGATCTACATATAATCTTTATAAATATAGATTATATAGTATATAAGATATTTATAAGTATAAAAGTATGTATTTAAATATAAAATAATATAGAAGTATAACTGAAATGTGTTATGACCCAAATGCACTGATTTTCTTTTTTATATAAACTTATTCCCATGAACCCCAGACACTGTTGTGAAAATATGGACCTATAAAAATTTTCCACTTAAATATTTTGGATGAAGTTTTTAAAGTCTCTGGTATTTCTTATTTTTAGTCACATTAAATTATGTGACATACTTATTTGACTTTTAAAATTATACACAAGTATCTGTATTTATCTGACTATTAAGAAAATGAATGTTCAATACTAAGTTTCCTATACTATAAATAAAGACACTGGTGTCCATAATAAAAAGAGATAAAAGAAATTTTGGCAAAAATCTCAAAAGCATGTACGTTTTGCTCTTTTAAACTAGTACTTAATTATGTTTTAAAATAATTTATTTTTAAAAATGACTTCTTAAAGAACATACAATTCCATGTTTGTGGCAGAAAAATTCATGATAAGCCTGGGACATTTTGTTGTCAAAAAGCAAGATGCATTCAGAGACATCTGACAGTAATGTACAAAATGATAAAACGTTCAATCTGCAGAGAGGGCAATGAGTGAACGAGTAGTGCCAACCTGAACATTAAATAAAAGCCCCCATCACTATAACCAGATTGTTCATTCATTCATGTACTCATTCATTCAACATGTTGAGTGCATATTGTGTGCCAGGCACTGTTTTATACTGGAGATAAAACACAAAGAAAACGGACAAAAATCTGTGGTGGGTAAAGCTTATTTCTAGTTGCAGGAGACAGAAAATAAATATATAAACAAATGAATATATAACATATTAGGTGCTGATAAGTACCATGAAGAAGAATTGAACAAGACAAAAGGACAATGAGTGACAGTGAGGGATGCTATTTTATGTAGAGGTGTCAGGAAATACCTCTCTGATGAGGTGGCATTGGAGCCACTTAAAGCATAAAGGAGTGAGCCATAAATATGTGGGAGGAGAGTTTCTCATGCAGAGGAGACTAAAAGGCAAGGTGGGAGCATGCGGGGCAAGGAGATGAACTCAAGGAGGTAGAAGGGGACAGAACATGTGATGCCTGAAAAGCCAGGGAAAGGATTTTGGAATTTGCTCTGAAAGAGTTAAAGGGTTTGACCAAAGGAGTGACAAGTTCTGGCTCATGATTTAGAAGGATGACTCTGACGACTGTGTTGAGAATAGACCATAAGAGGACAAGAGTGAAAGCAGGGAGACCAGTCAGGAGAGTACTGCCACAGTTTAGGGCTAAGGTGGAAGCCTAAACCTGGTGAGGACTGATTGGATTTGGATATCTTTTGCAGATGGAGTTGACAGGATTTGCCAATAGACTGCTGTGAGAGAAGAGAGGGAGTTTGTTAGAAGCTCACATATCAGAAATATATATATATACACACATACCGCTTTTAGGTTGAATCATTGAACATATAAAATTATCATATTTGTATATCAAAAAATGGTCAAGTGTTAGAAATCTCATATGGTTCAACCAAATAAAAATAAATTCAGGAGTAATTACCATATAGATGCTATTTAAAACCACAAGACTTAATCATATTATGAAACAATTATAAGAACTGAACCCTGGGACATCCCAACATTTACAGGTCAGGAATATGAAGAGGAAGCAGAAAAAGCAGACTTAAAAGGAGTAGCTAGGAACATATGAGAAAAATGAGGAGAAAATTGTGTCTTGGAAGGCAATTGAAGACAGTATTATAAGGAGGAGGGAGTATTCAACTTTTCCAAATGCTTCCAGTAGGTTAAATGACGTGAAGACTCAGAAATGACCATACAAGTGAAACCGGTTATGTCTACAAAAGACTATTCACCCATGCTGCAAATAAAGAGACAAGTATCTACAATGCACTTTAAAAAATAAAGTCATTACTAATAATGTCAATTAATTGGTGCATGATTTCTTACAATTTAGTTTTTCTTTTCTTAAAGCTAATATCATACATTTCCCCAGCACCCTAACAGGTTTGAATAAATATTTTTATAGGTTAGATCTACTGCATCAACAGTGAAAAATATAAAAATCTTAAATCAGCAGGTGGATTAGACTTCAAGTAGCCTGAAGCATGTTCTGGTGAGAAATATTCAGGCCCAGGAAATTGATCTTTAATTTGCTCAGTCTCACAATAAATGATTAAAAAATGTACTGGAGCTGTTTGTACTAGTTATCTGCACTTGTTATGAAGAGACATGTTGCCAGAATTCTGCAGAAGTGGGAAGGTCAAGTAGGCATATTAAAAAAGTAAAAGAAGGAAAATGTCAAAGTTGTCATGCCTAGTAAAATTATCAATCTGTGAAGTTATACTATGCTATATGGTCTCCTACTTGTGTAACTAAATTTGTAAGTCTCTACATCTTTTGCCATAACAAGGATGCATCTTGACCCTCAGACATGGTACACATATGTAACCTGTATATATAGGTGCACAGAAGAACATTATGTACTGGGAAAAAGAACCAGAGATCAAGAAGATATAATGATCATGAATATATTTGTACCTAACAATATAGTCTCAAAATATGTAAAATAACAATGAAAAGATCTACAGAGAAACCCATAGTTGGAAATTTTAATACAGTTCTTTTAATTAAAGCAATTAAAAATAAACAAAGGTATAAAAAATCTGAAGAACATAATCAATTACATTGAACAATAAACATATAGAGACATTTACACTAAAGAAAAATAAAAAATACATTTTTAGCAAACATGTGGCATTCACAGAAACTAACTAGTACTAGGGAAACTAAGGCACAAAAGGAGCCTCAACAAACACTAAGTAATAATTAGCATATACACTATCTTCTCTAACCATTATACAAAAAAATTAAAGGGGCCAGCTTTGTGGCATAGTGGTTAAGTTCATGCACTTCACTTCAGTGGCCTGGGGCTCACCAGTTCAGATCCTGGGTGCAGACCTACACACCACTCATCAAGCCATGATGTGGTGGTGTCCCATATACAAAATAGTGGAAGATTGGCACAGACGTTAGCTCAGGGCCAATCTTCCTCACCAAAAAAAAAGGATAGCTTTAAAAATCATATATCTGTTCCATATAGGGAATCTGAAAGTGTACAATTAAATAATCTTGGGATAAGGAGGAAATAATGTGGAAATTACAATATACTTCAAACTGAATGACAATGAAAGCGCTAAATGTCAAAATTTGGGACAGAGCTTAATTTGCACTTAGAAGAATATTTAAAGCTTTAAATAAATCTATTTAAAAATAAGAAAGATAGAAAATAACTGAAGTAAGCCTCCAACCATAAATTAGAAAAACGGCAACATAATAAAACAAACAGGGAAAAATGAAGGAGACAAAGACCAGAAATCAATTATGTAAAACTTATTTAAAGATGTTTAAAGATTAAAGATGGTTAATGAAACTAAGTGATAATTCTTTGATTAGATTAACAAAACAGAAGACACTGAAACATTGCTTTTTAAAATGTGGAAAAAATAAGTAGCAATAAGCTATAGATGTAACAGAGATTTGTAAAATAATAGAACATTATTAACAACTATAAGCCAAGACATTTGAAAACCTAGCTTAAATGGATACATTTCTGGAAAAATATAAGATGACAAGATAAACCCAAGAAGAAATACAGTACTTGAATACATGAATCACCATTAAACAACTGGATACAGAAATCAAGAATTCCCCCTCCAAAAATGACCAAATCTTGGTCCCACATGGTTTTTGCAGTTCAGTGCTACCAAATAAGAACAGGTAATCCCTTTCTCATACAAGTTATTCCAGAAAAATAGAAGAAAGGAGAAAGTTGCCCAATTGATTTTATGATGCTAGTGTAACCTTAAGTCCAAAAATGAATGAACAATAGAGGGGGAAAATGTATAGATATGTTTGACTTATAAACATAAGTTCACAAACATAAACATGAAAAAACTCTAAATAAATTATCAGACAACTGAGTATATCAATTTATTTCAAAATTAATATAGCATGATCCAATGTGATTATTTACACAATCCAAGACAGTTCAACATGAGAAAACTTAATGCAATTCACAACATTAATAAACTAAAAGAAAAAATCACATGGTCATCTTAATAAACGAAGAAAAACTATGTTTGATAAAGGCCAATACATATTTATGACTAAACTCTCAGAAAAATAGAAGTGAAAGGAATTTTCTTGACTTGATAAAGCTTATCTACTAAAATCCCACAGTTATGTTCCCTTTAAGAACTGGAACAAAATAAGAATTTCCATTTTCTCTATTATTATTCAGCATAGGAAAACTGAACATCCTAACTAATGCAGTAAGAAAGATAAGAAAAATACAAAAGGTTATGATAATTGCAAGGGAAGGTGTAAGATATTATGTCCTGATGGTATGATCATTTTAAAATAAAAAGAGCCAGCCCTGACGGCCTAGTGGTTAAAGCTTGGTGCACTCTCAGCACTTTGCTCGTCTGAGTTCATTTCCTGGTCGTGGAACCACCCCACCCGTATGTCAGTTGCCATGCTGTGGCAGGAGCTCACATAGAAAAACTAGGAGGACTTACAACTAGCATATACAACCATGCACTGGGGCTCTAAGGAGGAAAACAAAAAAAAGAGGAAGATAGGCAGCAGATGTTAGTTCAGGGTGAATCTTTCCCTGCAAAAAAAACCAAACTATTGGAACTAATAAGAGAATTCATCAAGTTTGTAAATACGCTATCATATGGAAATCAAAAACCTATAAAGTGAGGGTAATCTAATAAAGAATTGGCAAGGCATTTATGAAGGAAATGTTCAAGCACTTTTAACTACCACACTTACATTCAATACAATATCAAGACCAATAAAAAAAAGGTCTATAGCATTTTTTAGGAGAACTTCACAAACATTTTAATGTTTATATGGAACAATAAAATCTCCAAATAGCCATGACTCGTTCTGCCAGGTATGGAGACATATTCAAAAGCCATAGCAATTAAAGGAGTGGAACTGGTCTAAAACACACAAAAAGAAAAACTAATGGGGTAGAATGAATAGTATAGAAACAGCCCTATGGATCATCTTTATATAGAATATAAAGTACAAATCTAAATTTTTCCTCACCATATAGAGTACTAAGATTTCTCCAAAACATCTACAAAAAAACTTGGCCTTTCTCCACAAATTTGTATTGTAGGGGAATTATTGGAATCCCCAGTAGAGATTTATTTAAAAAAATAAAAGATTTTCATGTTTACACTCAACTCAATGCACTGGTTACACTTGTTACAATGAAGACTAGGAGCGCTTTGCATCTAGTAGTTTAGATAATAAACATGACAGTGAAGGCAAGGACTCTCAAAGCTCAAATCAAGATGCCTCAGAAAAAAGCAGTGTGGTATTTGCAAGAGAATTCAAATAGGGGCACGATGGGTAAAAAGAGAAGTGATTGATTTGATGCTTTCAACGTCAGTGAAGAATCTTCTAAAATATTTTCTCTTAATATCATTTTGTTGAGGCAAAATAGTTTCTTCAACATTACAGGGAGCACTGAAGTTCACACTGGAGGTGTTCTTTCATAACTAAGGAGTGTGAGACTTTTGATGAGAAGTGTTCCATGTCTTGTTACATAAGAGAGTGGCTAAAGTGGAGGGACTTCTGCTTCCAGGAAGATGGAGCAGACATAATTTTCCCTATTTTTCCTGCTAAGTACAAATAAAACCTTAGACACTATATATAAAACAAACATATGAAGACTCTGAAAGATGGAGGGAAGATGACAGATCAGCAAGAGACCCAAGAATCAATAGGGTGCTGAGTACACTGGGTTTTCTTTTTGCCTCAAAAATCCCAGACTTTGAGGTGAAGAAGCTGGTAACCCAGAAACACCAATGGGCACAGACAAAAAACAAAAATAGAAAGCCTACTCTCTCTAGCCAGAGAACAAGGAGAAGGCAGTTTAGCAAGACAGAAAACTATTAGAAAATAACTGTATCATTCCAGCCAAACATAAGAGAAAAAATCATGTGATCCCATCTCCACTCACAAGAACAAAACCCCATGATGAGTCTAGATTTCCACTCTTGATGGACTGTAATGTGCAGCCTCATTACTAAGGTGCCAACCAGGGTGGTGTCAGAGAAGTCTAGTAGAGGGCTGGGATTTTTGTCCTTCTAGGTGGCAGTAAGTCTCCCCATTCCTCACAGTGTCAGTGGAAACCACATGGGGAGCCTGGATTTCCACCTCTACCCAGCAGTAATAAGGTACCCCTCTCACTCCCCAATGGAGTAGCATCAGAAAGGCCTAGCAGAGAGTCAAGATTTTAACCACAGCCCAGTAATAATGAGGTAAACCCCCTGCCATGGTATCAGTAGAGGCCTGGTAGGGAGCTAAAAGGCTACCCAGCAGTAAGAAGAAGTACTCCCCTCAGCTGACAATAGAGGTCAAGTGGGGAATCTCTAGTTCTATTCCCACCTGACAGTAATGAGGTTGCACTCCTCCTTCCTCTGTCACAGGAAGCCACCTAAAAGAGAAGGTTTAAATAAGATCTGGGTTCTCACAACATAATACCCAAAATGTCCAGATTTTAATCAAAAATCACTTGCACACCAAGAACGAAGAAGATATCAAACTGAATGAAAAAGCACAATTAATAAGTGCCAACACTGACATGAAAGAGATGTCAGAATTATCTGAAGAAGATTATAAAGCAACCATCAAAAATATGTTTCAACAAACAATTACAAATATACTCAAAACAATGTTTTTTAAATAGAGTCTCAGCAAAAAACAGAGGTATAAAGGACAACCGAATGTAAATTTTAGAACTGAAAAATATAATAACTGAAATAAAAAACTCAATTGATAAACATAATAGCAGCAAGGAAGTGACAGAGGAAAAGTCAGTGAACTCGTTAACAGAACAATGAAAATTACCCAATATACAACACAAACAAATAGACTACAAAATTCCTCAGGGACCTGTGGGACTATAACAAAAGACCTAACATTCACGTCATTGGAGTCTCAGAAGGAAAGGACAGAGAGGAATGGAATGGAAAAATACTCAAAGAAATAACAGCTGAAAACTTCCCCAATTTGGCAGAAGACATAAACCTACAAAGTCAAGAAGCTAAGTGAACCCCAAACAAAGAAATCTACACCAAGATACAACATAGTCAAATTTTTCTAAACTAAAAACAAAGAAAATTCTTGAAAGCAGAAAGAAAAAGAAAAACAATACCTTACCAATAGGGAAAAAGTGATTCAAATAATAGCAGATTTCTCATCAGAAACCAGGGAGGCCAGAAGGAAGAGAAACAACATTTTTCAAGTGCTTAAAGAACTGTTAATCCACAATCCTATACCCAGTAAAAATATCCTTCAAGTATGAAGGAGAAATCAGACATTCTCAGATGAAAGAACTCTAATAGAATTTGTCACCAGAAGGCTCACTGCAAAAGAATGGCTAAAAGAAGTACTCCAAACAGAAAGGAAATGATTTTTTAATAAAGGAAACTTAGCACATCAAGAAGGAAGAAATAATATGGTAAACAAATATACAGGTAAATAAAATAGGCTTTCCTTCTCTTGAATATTCTAAATTCTGTTTGAGAATTGAAGCAAAAATTATAACACTATCTAATGTGGTTCAAAATGCATGTAGACGAAACATTTACAATAAATAAATGGAGAAGAGTAAAGGGACACAAAGGGAGGAAAGGTTTTTATACTTCACTCTCACTGGTCAAATGTGGACACCAGTAGATTGTGTTAAGATAGGTAAATGCAAATACCTACAACAATCTCTAAAAATGTTATACAAAGACATACTCAAAAACACTAGAGATACACCAAAATGGAATCCTAAAACACACTCAAGTAACCCACAGAAGGTAGGAAAAGGGAAACACAGAGATGAAAACAGAGAGAACAAAGAGAAAACAAAATGCCTTTGTTTCCACACCCATGAGATTAATAGATGGGAGCATCCAACCTTTCCCACAGATTTTGGATCTGACCTCTGAAATCAGTTTCAAGTCTCAAGACGTTGCACTCCCAGTGCTATGCATTATATCTGGCTGCTACACAAAGGCAGGGATTTTGACCAGCTTCGAAGTATTGAACACAGCTCACTAAGGCCAGTTTCATTCATCCCAAGCACCCTTCCCCACAGTTAGTGCAGGGGAGATAAAATTATGATGGACCAGGATTCCTCTGCCTTCATACAATTCAAAGTTCACTGAACACATCCTGGGAGGTGCTTTGTCCTGGACTAATTCCATAGTCTGGGGAGGGTCTTGGAAGTATCTTTTTTTCCTCAGACTCTGTAGGGGTGAGGGAATAGACATACACCAATTAAAGACAACATAACTGAGTCAGTCCACCCTGTGAAAACACCCACAATAGTAAGAAATCAGATCAACCATCTAGGAAAACCCAGAGTTTTAAAAATGATGTTTCTACAATCCAAATTCCCAAAAAGATTCATTACAGTATTCTCATTTTTTAAAAAAAAACCTCAAATGAAAAATGCTTTTAGCACTGATATTGCAATCTGGTTGACAGAAAACATGATTGAAATAACGCCTTGTGATGTTCTTGAGTTTCTGAAATCTGCAGTGATGACAGGCATATATGCTTGGTTTTGTTGAGGAAGTCGGTAGATGGCATTGGTGGGTTTACACGGAGAACTTACAATACATGTAGTAACAAGATAATAGTCCAGGGGTCCTCTAAATTATAAGACCATATTCAGAATCATAAGCTCAGCTTGAGTGGTCTAGTAAGATTATCACACTGTTCTTTAAGATGCCTTAAAAACAGTGGGAACTTACTCTCTTGGTCACCTATGATTTGGAGTATCTTGATAACTGGTTATTTATATCACTTTTAGGTTATTAACATTACTATGGTGGAACTTGAATTCTTCAAAGATGTGATACTGACTTTAAGCAAATATTTGGAGTGTCAAATTGAAATTCACAAACATTCTTCCCCTCTGCAGTCCTAAGATATTGACAGGAAATTTGAAGTTGGATAAAAAGCATTTAAAAGTAACTTATAATCAGGCATACCAACTGTACAATTTGATCCCAATTTTAAAACAACTCAAAGTCTTTTCCATTTTTTCTACAGTTCTACTGAAACCCACTAAAACTAAGCACTATAGAAATCTTTCACAAATAAAAACATGTGAGCGGAGCTAGGGAACAGACATTTCCTTCCAACTAGTTGAGTTCCCAGCCTCTTATTTCCCAGTATGATTTTCAGGTAGGACGTAGCCATCAGAAGGTAGATCTAAGATCTCAAAATTGGCAGGGTGCAGAGCTAAATATTAGCAGCGTTTTTATAGGAAGCCAACTTTCCCAAATGGCAGGTCAAAAATATTTGGTTTCTTTTAAGGAATTTTAGGTGTGTTTCCATACCCTGCTTTTACACCCTCTTCTTTGCCAATTTTTATCTAGGAAGGAGGATGGCAGAGATGTTCACTCTTTGATGGACTGAGAAGAGGAGAAAGCATGAATATATATATGTTCATGTAGCTAACATATACAGATTCATCGCCCTCACTTCCTCCACACATGCTTTGTCCACTTAGTTTCTTCTCTCTCTACTCCTCCAACACCACTCAAGGAAAAAGTTGTATGAATGGATTGTTGAGAAAAGCAATCATTGTGGAAGAAATGTTCCACTCTTCAGGGCTATTTGTCATGAGAGAGAAGGCATAACGTGTTAAGAGCAAGAGGTGTATGACTTCACATTGTTCAGGACAGAATGGCATGGATAACAGCTGTTTGTGACAGATGACAGCTAGGCTCCCAGGAGTTTAGGGATAACAGATACAAGAGAGAATAAGAGGCTTTAGTATAATTGTGGTAGTTTATGTTCTTGGACTCCCATAAATTTTTGTGAGAAAGATTGAATTTCCTGTCTGTGCTCTGTTTATTTAAACTCCAACCTTGCCCTTGGGGTGGAGGGAAAGCTTATATATAAGATCCTGAGTGAAAGTCAACGGAGGTAAATGTGAAAGAGATGAGGAAATGTCAAAGCTCCAGAGAGTTTAGTTGTGTCAGAGAGACATTTTTAATATATAATTTAACATAATGTAAACAAAGTAAACTTTTTAGATATTTTTATTCACTGAAAATTTATCTATCTCAATGCCAGCATCTTGATCCACATGAGTATTTATCCATTTTATTCCAAATGATTGAGAGAAAGAGATAAATTTATGGATTTCTGCATACACACACTTATTTTCAGATTCCCCATCATTAGAGAGTACTTTTTTGCTTTCTTCCAGAACTCATATTCAGGAAGCATCCTGATATTTAGCTAACATGCCCCAACAGTTTCCATGGATGTATGGCTCAATATTCTGTGTCAAAATTCCCTGTATCAGAGATTGAGTCTATATGTATTTCAACATTTGGTGCAGTGCTGGAACATAGCAAGTGTCCAATAAGTACTGGTTGTTGTTCTTGTTGTTATTATTACATGTCAACATTATTTTTTAAATAATTCATTATTTTCTAACTGCTCTAAGTAGCTAATCTTTCCTTAGGAATTTCCCATGTGTACATACGCATGATTTTGGAATCTCTATTCTGTTATAATAGTCTATGCGTCTGCTGTTCTGCAATGCTAGAGTAATTTAATTATTACATATTTGTAATAAACATTTATATCTGATGGGTTAGCCTCTCATCTTTGCTTTACTTTTCCAAGTTGTTTTATTTATTTATTTAATATTTATATATACATGGATGCCGGGTATTTTGATTTGAATTGCATTAAATTTATAGATTGGATTGGGAAGAAATGTTATTTTTACAACGCTGTCTTCCAATTCAGAGACATGGTGTATCTCTCCCTTCATTTAGATCTTGTTTTGTATTCTCTAATAGCATGGTAAAATAGTTCTCTATAAAAGTCTTACTCATTTTTGTTAGGTTTATTACCATTGTATATGGTTTTATATTTTCTGTTTAATAATTACTGGTACAGAGGAATGCTATTGCTTTTTTAGGGTGTAATGTGCCACTATTTCAAATGAATTTTATAGAGTTTTATTACAAAAATTGTTATTATTGGTTGTTGAATTTATCAAATATTGTTTCTACATATGTCAAGATGATATGATTCTTTTCATTTGTTCTGTTAACATGGTGAATTAGATTGACTTTCTAATGTTAAATCTATTTTTGCTATTGGCTAATTTTATATTCAGCCATCTTGCTTAGTTTTTACTAGTTTTAATAATTTTCTGTTGAGTCTTATAAATATTCTACATAAATAATTATAACAACTTTCTTTCTAACCTTCATACTTACTCATTTTGATTTTTTTCTATTGCAATATATGAGCTCCAGTATCATATTGAATATTAAACATAAAACTAAAAACTATTATTAAAAATATAAAAGAATATCTTCATAGCATCAGGGAAAGATCTTAAGTAAGATGCAAAAGCACAAATCATAAAGGAGAAATTTGATGGATTTGATTATATCTGGTGAC